TGGGAATTGAGGGGGGAAATTGGGAATTGAGGGGGGAATTGGGAATTGAGGGGGGAATTGGGAATTGGAAATGAGAAATTGGGGGGGGATGGGGAATTGAGGGGGAAAATGGGAATTGGGGATTGGAAATGGGGAATTAGGGGGGAAATGGGAATGGGGGAAAATGGGGAATTGAGGGGGGAATTGGGGAGGGAAAGTGGGAATTGGGGGGGAAATGGGGATTGGGGGAAATTGGGGGGAAATGGGAATTGAGAGAGGGAAATTGGGGGGAGAAATGGGGAATTGGGGGGAAATTGAGGAGGGAAATGGGGAAATTGAGGGGGAAAATGGGGAGGGAAAGTGGGAATTGGGGTGGAAACAGCGGGAATTGGGGAAGGAAAATGGGAATTGGGGAAGGAAAGTGGGAATTGGGGTGGAAACAGCGGGAATTGGGGAAGGAAAGTGGGAATTGGGGTGGAAACAGCGGGAATCGGGGCAGGAGCAGCGGGAATTGGGGTGGAAACAGCGGGAATTGGGGCGGGAGCAGCTGGAGAATCGCGGCCGCCTCAGCCGAGCGCTCCCCGCTCTCCCCTCAGGACGGCCCCGCTCCCCTCCCGCTCCCCCTCCCGGCGGTCCCCGGTTCCCCGGCGCTCCCCGCGCTCCCCTCACGCACCCGAAGAGGCCCCCGAGGAAGGATCGGGCCCCTCGGAGCCTCCGCTCCGCCTCGTTCAGCAACCGCTGCGCCTCCTCCTCCTTCCCGGCCGCCATCGCCGCCATGACGGCCCCGCCGCCGTCCCACGTGACCTTCCCCGTCGCCTCACGTGACCCCCCGCGCCGCGTCACGTGACCGCCCCGCCGCGGCGGCGCACCCTGGCGGGCGGGAGGACTGGAGGCGGGCGTGGTTTATGCAAATCAAAAAAGGGCCACGGCGCCGCTGATAGGCCGGCCTCGAAGGGGGCGTGGTTTGTGGTGATTTACACGGCGTGGGGGCGGGGTCTATGCAAATTAGGGCTGAGGGGTTGTCGCTGGTTTGTTGTGGGCGTGGTTTATGCTAATATCCAGTCCGGTGGGCGTGTTGTATGCTAATGAGAGGTCCCTCGGGGGGGCTTGGCTGCTGAGGCGCCAGCGCGGGGGCGTGTCTATTCTAATGCCTGTCCGGGGGCGCGGTTTATGCTAATGAATTCCTCTCCCTGCCTTTCTGGGGGGGCCGCGGGGCCGGTGGGGGGGTCCCGTTAAAGCCCCCGGTCCCCTCCCGGCCCCGCCGCGTCCCCCCCGGGCCCGCGGTGTCCCCGGGAGTTGCGGCGGCGGCGATCAGGCAGCGCCGCGAACCCCTAAGCGGCGGGGCCCGGCGGGGTCCTGGCGGCGGCGCCCGTGCGGGGGCGCCTGGGAGACCCCGCGCCGGGCGCCGCTCAGGCCTCACGGTGAGTCCGCCACAAAAAGCACCCGAATCGCCCCAAATCGCGGCTCTGTCGCGACAGCGGCGGCGACACCGCGCCCGCGCTCCCCCCCCCGCCACCGGGAACCCC